TATATATGTGTGTGTGTGTGTGTGTGTATGTTTTACCCCTTGCTTTTACTTGTAATTATGATCCTTCAATATCCTGGTCACTTAGACAAGGTTCATCTCTCCTTGAAGTTCCATATCTACCCCTCCTTGATCTCTCACCCTCTATCTCTTCCAAAATTCTTTGAGGAAAATTTTTCATCTATGCGTTAGTGGTATGGAAGCAGGAAGAGAACAGTAGAAAACTATCAATTCTACACAACAAACTTCTAACTTTATATCATCAAGATTCTACAAATTTATATAAAAGGGAAGAGACTAGAGACTCTTAGCAGAAGTTGGACATGGTCAAATTCCTTAATGGGGATTACCTGAAACTTTGAGGAAGGAAACAACAATTTGGACATGAACAACACACTCTCAAAGCAAAGATGCAAATTTTGCACTCTTAAAGAGAAAAAAACAGTTTTAAGGAAGCAAACACTCCAGATGGTGATTTAAATGGGTATCAAAGGAAAATCATATTTAACATGAGCATTAGTAGCGGTGACTAGAATTATAAAGGAATGGTGATCAAAATCCATTTACATGTGTGCTATATGGCTTAATAAATTACTCGTAAGCTCTTGAACATTTAATACCCTCCATGGCTACCCAAAACAAAAAGATGCCAGTGAGAAGAAAGAAAGATCTGTAGGTCTGTGTGTGTGTGTGTGTGAGAGAGAGAGAGAGAGATGTGGGGCCTAATGTTTATTAATAATAAAAAACTAAATTAAATACAAAAATTATAAAAAAATGTATCAAAGGGGCATTTTAGTCTTTTTAGTTTTCTGGAGGACCAAAACCACAATCAAACTAGATCAAAATGATCACGAAGCAAAAAAAAAAAAAAAAACAAATCGGGGTTTGTACCAAACCTCAGAAAAATGCATACCACAGGGACCATTTTTGCAATTTTGTTTATATTTTTTGATTAAATTGATATATACATCATTATAAGATTGAATATAAATGTTCGTTTAATAGATAAGAAGGATATATATGTAATTATGGACTTTGGAAGGATATAAATGCAATATATTATGTTATGTTTTTAAGGTGTGTATGGAATTTTCCCGTTTATCTAAGATCTTTTATTGAAGCGGAAGTTGATTGGTTTAGGAAAGGGATAATGACTTAAAAGGGTAATATTTTTCGATTTGTACACATTTGGTCAGTGAGTTTTTTTTCATCCACATTTACCCCTTCAACCTGTTAAACTATACACATTCAGTCCTTATGACCGGTTACTCTAGGTTAGCCGGGAAAAATGACTTAATATGGTAATATATTTTTCATTTTGTACACATTTAGTCCTTAATATTTTTTGTTTCAAAATAAGTCATTTTTGTTTTTGTACTCATTCAGTACTTATGAATGATTTCTTTAAATTTTTCTCACGACATCTTACGTGTGACAATCATTAATGAGGTGTTTGGGGTTGTTGAAGCTTATGTCCATCACGATCTCGACTGTTTGGTTGAGTAGGTCTTGTGGTTTGTCTTAAGACTTGTGTTCTGAACGTCGTAACTTCTTCATATGATATCATATTTTAACGATATTTATATCCACGTGTTCTTTTTTTGAGTCCATTATAACTTTCGTTAAGATTACTCCCATTAATATGTAATATATTTTTTACTTATGATTTATAAAAAACATTCATACATGTATTCATAAAAAAACGTATGGATATAAAAATCGTAAGTAAAAATATATTGCTTTTTAACAGGAGTAATCTAAATAAAAGTTGTAGTAGACTAAAATACGAACGCATGTATATAAAGATCATTAAAACCCGAGATCGTATGAAGAAGTTATGACATCCGAACATATGACCTAAGCTACCAAATATTTGAGATCGCGATGGACATAAGCATCAAAAGCCCCAAAACATCTCATTAATGATTGTCTCATTTAAGATGTCGTGAGAAAAAAAACTAAAGAAATCATTCATAAATATTGAATGAGTACAAAAACAAAAATGACTTATTTTGCAACAAAAAAATATTAAGGACTAAATGTGTACAAAAATATTAAGGACTAAATGTGTACAAAATGAAAAATATATTACCCTATTAAGTCATTTTTACAGGCTAACCTGGAGTAACCGGTCATAAGGACTGAATGTGTACAGTTTAACAAGTTGAAAGATAAATGTTGACGAAAAAAAAACTCAATGACTAAATTTGTAAAAATCGAAAAATATATTACATTTTTAAGTATTGACCCTTTAGGAAACAACCTAGAAGGTAATTAACTATGTCGGGGGTAGCTGCATGTCATAAAGGTAATTAACTATTTTTAGTTTTATGCACTCACATTTTTTCTTATTTATGATCATATTCTCCTTCATTTCCTCTTACACCTATACAAAAATGCAAACGACCATCAAGACTAATCTTCCAATGAATTCTTATATTAGGAATATTTTTTATAATGTCGGATGTCCACAGGATAGACATGATTGCTTTGCAGTATATATTGGAACAAGGATTGGATCATTAGATATGATCTTGGAGCACATTTTCGTGAGTATTTGACTAGAGAGTAGAATACTTTTTTTTAATATTTTTAACATATTTTTTAACCTTAAAAACAGTTTACTTTTTTCCTTCTAAGCATCTTGAAATTTGGTAATTGGTACATAAATTTCTTATTTTAGTATTTTAGTTACACATAAATTTTAGTTTCAAAAAGTATATGTCACCGGTTTCATGGTCTATGATATATAGAATCTATGGTAATTGGTGACTCCAAATATAAAAGAATACAAGATTGAAAGTCTTATCGAATTCAATCCTCATAGGTTTCCCTACAAAAATAAACTAAGGCAATCAAGTGTGCAAAGCTAAACTAACTACAATAGGAGTCAAACTACTAAAATCACCCATAGCTATAGCTATGCCTATGGCTATTAGCTCATGACTCACAAAACACCCATCAAACTCATCTAGACAGGAGTATAAAAACAAGAAATCGAATTGGAAGTTGAAAGCCCAGTAGTCTCCACAGCATTTGTGATTCTCGCCCTATCAACTGGCCTGAAAATGTAAAGAATCGACATACAGAACACAAGAATGGTGGTCTCCTTTACCACATAAACCTCCCACCGTGTAGACAATGCAAGAAGAAAAAGCTTCGTAATGAGCACATACACAATAGTCAACATCATAAATAACCACAACTTATTCGAATTCCGATCACCATTCAAATCAGTCTCACGAATCTCATCCAACAAGATACTCGACAACGCTATGGAGAAGTAAATAGCAAAGCAGTAGATGACATCTGCCAGTGACCCGTTTTCTTTATTATAAGGTACAGCAGCTTCCCATGGCAATATTGGATCTGCATTAGCCCAAACCTCAAGCACGATCACAATCATCAAAACCAGTTTTTCCTCTCGTTTCAAAAATGGCTTCCAGAAAAACCATCCTGCACCAATCAACACAATCACGGTTGACAAAAGAACAGCCCTCATAAGCTGAAATATGTAAAACACGGCATCCAATCCATGAGCAGTTCCTGTAATCTTCACATGATGTAGATCCGCAGCAACACACATAAATTGAACACAATTCACAAGAAGCAGCCCACCCATTAGTAAATGGCTCCTGTTAAAGATTCGCCTGTTCTTGAAGCATACTAAGATTCAAAACCCTAGAGAACTTAAGTAAATGAAAGAGAAGATGATGTACAGAGACGGGAGTTGTGTTAGCCCGGCTGATAAAAAGTTTTTGGTAGTGCCATTGCCATTGCCATCATCGATGTTGTAAAGCTCTGCATGACCCTCCATTGTCACGAAGGATTCGTTGTTGCAGTTGACGAAGAAGAGTGAGTTGATACCGGAATATGTTACATGGAACGATTTGTTGAAGGAAAACTGAGGACCATGAGAAAGATTTTGGAAAGTAAAGAGGACTGATGAGTTTGATTTGAAATCCAAGGGACAAATAGTAGTGTTTTGTTGGAATTCGAAGATGTCTTGGTTTCTTGTTTCAAGCGAATGCAGGTAGAAATCATAATCATGTGATTGAAGGAAGAAACCAATATGTGATGCATTAGTAGGTGATGAGGTGGAGGTGACTGCGATGGAGGTGAACATGAAGGAAACATAACCTGCATTTGTAAATTCAAAATCCGATAAAGGGATCATTTGTCGGTTACTGGATTGGAGATTCAGAGATACGATATGCGCTGTGGATGGTGCTGTGAAGATGAAGTGGTAGAGGAAAACAGCGGTGAGAAGTTTTTCTAATATCCTCATTTGGTTTCACGGGTGGTGGTTGGCGGAGGAAGGCGGTGGTCTAGAAAAGTGAGGGTAGCAGGACAGTAAACGTAACACCCACCCTCTTTCACGATGAAAAAACTATAAAGATGTATTGTTAAATTTCTTGATCCATTCTCGTTGATATCAAGCATATTTATCTACAGATGTTTCTTAATTCTAAGATAACTAGGAGTCTAGGATAGGGGATACAATACTTGCCTAATGTAATATGACTCGAATACAAAGCAACAATTAAAAAACTTTTGGTAATATTTTATCGTCCATAAAAAATAACAACATGAGAAAAATAGGGATAAAGACGGATGTTAAATTTTGAAAAAACTATGTGTGCGATAGAGATAAAATCTCATAATTACGGTTTCCATATGTCTTTTGAATATTAATCCCAGGAAGTGTGATAGAGGTCTCGAGGTGTGGAGAAACTTTTATTACTTAATAGAGTTTTTCTTCGTTTTATTGTCCTAGTGTGTGGTAACATTTTGTGGAAGTTTTTTTTTGCTTATAATTGTCAATAAAATAATTTGGTGCATCAAATTAAGTACAGTATGTAATTAAATATGTAATGATATGGTTACATCTTGGATCTTGAACGTATTATCAAACAATATTGCCGAATTCGTTATATACTCTTCATCAGCAAAGGAAATCTAGAAGGATTTAGATGATCTAGCCACCTATTTCACCAAGCTCAATAAACTTTGGGATGAATTGAAATCAAGTTTCTCATGGGATTAAATGGGGAACATGGAGCTGTTAGAGGAAACATTCTCATGATAAACCACATCCGACTATGGCACATGCTTATGCTCTCTTAATTCAAGACTAAAAACAGAGAGAGATAAATTCGTCTTCCAATTTCTTTCCTGAATCTGCTGCTATGAACATTGAGGCTGGTATATTTCATGTCAAGAACTATTATAAAGGGGAAGATTCTAAAAGAAACATGACATGTAATTTCTGTAAGAAGTCTGAGCATACAGCCAACAAATGTTATTGCCTTACTGGTTTTACAAAAAAATTTAGGTTCACAAAAGGCTTTTTTTTTATAAAGCTTTTTCATTAATTTAAATGTCATCGTACAATGAGTGAGATGGCAAACGGGTAACAAGCTGCGCCGCTAAACCTTTTTGTATGGTAAAGCTAATTCGTTTGAAGACTACATCATTAGAGGATCATCATGCTCTACAATCAAATAATTCTTCCTACAGCACTCAAAGTCTTCCTGAGTTTTCAAAAGAGCGGTTTCAACAATATCAACAATTCATTTCCATGTTTAACAACTTCAACAAAGGATCTGAATCACAAAATCATGCACAAATGAATATTTATCATCAAAGTCAGCCTCAAACTCATCACATGAATCCAACAAATGTCAATTTCATTCAAACTCCACCCAATTTAAATCAACAATCTCAAGTCAATCAAAACAATGTCAATATGAATCATTCCAACTTCAACTTTGTTGGTAACGTGTTTCTTTCCCAAAATACCCCTAATGGAGCAGTCATTATTAATCCAGTTAGTTGTCATTGTCTTGTTACTGCTACAACTACTTGGATTATTGATTCGGGGCTAGAGATCATATGTGTCATAATAGATCCTTGTTATTTCAAATCCAAACTCTAAAAGTTCCATATCAAATAACTCTTCCTACCGGACAACAGTTGAGTGCTTATAAAGTTGGAAGCACTTATCTTGCAGAGAATGTTATTCTTCATAATGTTCTTCATGTGCCTCATTTCCAATTCAATCCTTTGTCAATCAGCAGGTTGTGTCACCAATTAAAATCTCGTGTTGTATTTTTAGACAAGTTTTGTTTCTTATTGCAGGGCCTTTCTCTGAAGAGGCCTCTGGTTCTTGGCATTCCAACCAAAACAAGAACATATCAATTGCACTTTCTGTTACTTCAAATACCCCTTCAGATCCATCTGTCATTTTTTCTACTTCTTTTTGTAATAATGCTACCATAAACAATTTATTTCTATTATGGCATAATAGGCATGTGCATTTTCCATTGTACAAGTTGAAAGTTCAAAATCTTTTGAACAATGAAAAGATTAATTCTAATCTTTCTTGTGATATATTATAGAGCTAGACAACACAAGTTACCTTTTGGTCAAAGTACAATTCCTACCTCATCTCCTTTTGATCTAATTCAATTTGGCAAGAACATCAAATTCATAAGATCAGACAATGCTTATGAATTGAGATCAAGTAATGAGGCTATTTCATTTTTTTCAAGAACAGGCCATTCTCCATCAAACAAGTTGCAGGAATACCCCTCAACAAAATGGGGTTGTTGAGAGGAAACACAAACACCTCTTGGAAACTTCTAGAGCTCTAATGTTGCAATCAAAACTACCCTTAAGTTTTTTGGGTGACTGTGTCTTAATGTCACTCATCTGATAAACAGATTTCCATCAAAAGTTTTAAAAGGAAATTCTCCTTATTTTGTACTATACGGTAAGCATCCTACATATTCAGATTTGAAAAGTTTTGGATGTTTATGTTTTGTTAGTACCCTATCACACAACATAGACAAATTTAAGCCCAGAGCTCTTCGTACGGCAAGAAATGATACAATATTTATGACCTGACAACAAAGAAAATTATTGATTCCAGAGATGTCATCTTCCATGAACATATTTTTCCCTATTCTGATAAGAAAACATCCTTTGAACCCTTATTTCCATGTGAGATCAACTTATCTCAATTTTATATTGATGTTCCCACTATTCCATATGTTACTTCTGAAAATACCCAAAATACCCCTCATGATAATTCTCAACCATTACATGTTCATACAGATCCTCCGCATGTTCTTGGATGCACCACCAGAACTCTCAAGACTCCTGCCCACTTGCAAGACTTTATTTGCAATAATGTTTCTTGCAATTTCCAAAATCGTCAAAATCCTCAATGTTATTCATTTTTATCCTGTGCTCATCATGTCACTCATACTTCTTCACCAAAGCATGTTTTCTTTAATACCTTATCACAATAAAGAAAATGGTTGATTCAAAATATGGATCAAATTTTTGAACCATCATGCTTTGAAGAGATGGTATTAATACATGAATTGCAAGAAGCTATGGCCAAAGAGTTTGAAGCCTTAGAAGCAAATAACACATGGGTTCTTGTTGATCTTCCTTAAAGGAAGAAACCCATCAGTTGTAAATGGGTGTATAAAGTGAAATAAAAGGATAATTGTGAATGAATGATTTAAAGGGAGATTGTGGTCAAAGGATTCACACAAAAGGCTGGAATTGACTATACATAGACTTTTTCACCAATGGTCAAAATGACTACTATCGGGGCTTTGATAGTTGATGCAGTTAAGAAAGGATGGGATATGTATCAACTAGATATGAATAATGCATTTTTGCATGGAGATCTACATGAAACCACCACCTGGCTTTAAATATATCCAATCCAAATCAAGTTTGCAAACTTCAAAAATCATTATATGTGTAACATCCCAAAAACCAAGGTAAAATTTTTATTTTTAAAAACCAACCAAAATCCATAAGCGTTTACAAAACATAGTTTCCAAAATACTCAGTGAGCATAGGTAATCATACGATCTACCAGTCTAATACATAACCAACATAACCTCAATCCAATATACCAGAATATATAATCCAGTACGACAGCATTGGTGCCTTCGACCTACAAGTACAATGAGGAAAACTCACCTCACAGTCTGAAATGTAGCTGAACAAATCACAGCTCCAACTGTTGACTCTACAGGTCACATATACAAAAAAACAGTGACCTAATCTCAAAATACTGCTCAAAATGTCCAAAATACCCCTAAGTCAAACTTGGTCAAAATCCTAGTCAAAAAGTCAAGGGTCCCACTTAGGTTGAGTACCCCCTAGGTACTCCTCTCTATGCCTAAAGTAGAGGGTGCCTTCTTAAACTACGGGCTCCAAACCTGGTACATGTAACGTACCAACGCTGAATCCTCAAATCATCATTAAGTCCTTACTTTATTAATACAAAACACAAAACCTTAGATCTAGTTAAAATTGGACGTCTTAATGGATAAAGTCTCTGACTTTATCCATTTTCATGCATACAAGAGTGTATAAACTAAAAACCTTGGTCAAAAAGTCATCCAAAGCTCCAAAACTCTTGCATGGCTTAATGAGAGTGTCCAAGCTCTCATTTTTATGAATCCATTAGCTCAAAACTACAGAAAACTACATTTCAAGGACCTGGAGTAGCTCATACTCCACTAGACCAAACCATGGGACCAAAAATATACGCAAACTCTAGACTAGAAAGATCTATGTAAATAACTCATCAAGTTCCAAGATTTATACCTTCAAATGATGCTTGAAGGTGAAACACTAATGGATCCAAGATTCCTTGAGCCTCCAAGATGATTCCACTTCCTTCTTCTTCATTCAAGAACACCAAAGATGCACTCTCAAGCTTAAAATGCTCATACAATGGATTAGGATTTGCAAGGGACGATGTGGGAGATGGAGGCTGATGAGGGAAAGGGTTTTGATGAGATAAGGATGCTTAAATAATGCTCAAACCCCAAAAATTAGGGTTTTCCCACTGGCCATATACGCCCTTCGTAGCAAAGAGTATGCCCAGGGTACGCCCCAAGTGTTGAGTGTGAATCCACGGAGGTTGTTGAGTGTGAATCCACAGAAAAGTTGGTCAAAAATGGCAGGA